AGGTTGCAAGGGGGAGAATGTGAAGGTGTAACTGGTCCACCAGTAAGACTGCTTGTGATCGAAGAGGACATTCAGGCCTCCAATAGGAAGGATGGCCAAATGAATCCAAGAATGAGAACTCCAGCCTGGATGGACACTGGGCTGGCAAAGAAGAGTAAGTTATAGAGGAGGCAGGAAGTAACAATTGAGTAAACCTTGCTCAAATTAAGATAAAGCTCTTCTAGGAAAGGAAGTGAATTGGCAGCAAGAAAAATGGGAATGGTCAAGGAGGCCAACCAGGGCTTGAACTTCAGGGCAGTTATGCAGTTTCAGAGGTTCTGGGCCCGCAGTCAGGAAGAATCACAATAAAGAAACAGCACGTGTGATCTCAAAAGTGAGGGAGGCTCCACATTGCTGGATTGCTATTAATTATTTTTAGCAAATCATAAAAGGGAATTATACATCAGAAAGCACTAGCTACTTTGAACTTTTTAAACAGAATTAGGCTCTTTTCTCCTCTGTGGACTGGCTGGTGGGTTGTAATCAGACAGACAGAGCCAGGATCTGCGCTCTCTCTCTCTCTCTCTCTCTCTCTCTCTCTCTCTCGGCAAATTTCACGCAGACTGATCAATGAAGGAAGCATACGCCCTTCCTTAACTCAAGGCAGCACAGGGCCAGAAAGGCCCCACCTTTGTGCCTGGCAGGTCTGCAGGTTTATTTGCAGGATTTGAGCAATGGAGTCTCTGTTGATGTCCCAGGAGACTTCTGGGCACAGAGAGCAAAATGCCCGCACGTATCGGCTTCTTGTAGCAGGTAGGAGAAAAGAGGGAAGGCGCAATGGAACCCCATGGGGAGGTTCCCAGCGGAAAGACCCCTTGGAGGAGGCAGGGAGACTGGGCCACACAAGCTCCTCTGAGGGCGCCTTTGACCAGGCTTTTGAAAAAATAACCGATCGGTCATTGTGATGCTTTGCATTTCCCTTCTTATAGGAAAGGGAACTAAGTGCGGCTGTTCACAATTCGAAGCAAGATGGAGAAAAAAGTAGAATTGGATCAGGTCAACTTGATCCCTGCGGTGAGCAGATTTTGAATTATCAACACATTTGGATTATGAAGTTTCATTTTTCACCTTTCATAAACATTTTGAATCATTTGCCAAACATGAAGGCTTCTGGTTCCATCTGATTTTACTTTTGTTCCAGATTATTTTATTAAGATAAATGGGAATCCCACAGGCTGCATCAGCCCCCGGCATAATTGGTTTGTCCAAGCATGCCTTCAGCTCCACACAGCGTCCTGAGGTATCACCTGGAAGTAAAACAATGGGGTGGGGGTGGGGGGCGGCAAACCTGGCTTTATTCAAAGAGATCTTCAACTGCCCAGAAAACCGGGGGCAGAGAGAAGGGGCCGAGGAGCCATTCCAATGGCCGGTCTCCGGGAGTCTCCTTTTTGTCGAGACAAAAGGGATAATGCCTTAAATGCAGCCCCAAAACTAACATATTAGTAGACCCCTGATTTATTCATTGATTTATTTGAAAAACAAGTGCCTTTCTTAATATAGGTCACAAAAAGACAATCTGTTAGGTGAGAAATATTAAAATGAGATGTAGAATTCTCGGGCTTATAACGTTTGAATCTCACATCTGAGTTTGAAATGGGGCTTCTTGAAAAGTGGAAGAATTTTTTAAAAAATACCTTATCTGAAACAAATTTAACGTGCATGTGAAAAAAAGGATGTTCTCTGTGTTTGGGATATAAAAGCACTAAATATCTATTAACCTGAATTTCAGTACATATGCTTGTAATGCTTTCCAGTTTTGAGAGAAAGCAAGGTTGTTCTGAAGTGCTTCTGTCTATGTAAAAATCTTGAATCAGATTGAAATCTCTAGCAGAGAAACAATTATGAAATATTTCAGGACTGTTCTTAATGGGGCCAAAAAAATTAATCAGAACGATTGTGAGAGGCGGTATATTCGCTATCCAAAAAATAAAGTGTCCCTCACTACTTCAGTGTTCATCTTTCACATCAGTTTTAAGATTGCTTTTAAATAAAATAGCTACCGCACTTACTTTATTTGGGTACCTGCTACAGTAATATAAGTTTGTCCATCCAGTAATTTTCCAGCTTGTTGCAAATTTGTCCCTTTTGTTTTTTAAAATCTAATTCGATTTAATTTCCCCTGTGGCAGAGGGGCTTTTAAATCTTTTGACCTTATCTCCAAGGGAGAGGCAGAAGATTGCTTTATGTAAAAATAAGTATTTAACTTTCTCATTTCTTGAAAGCGTAAGAAGTCTTTCCACAAAGGAGGCACTTGTGAAGAAAGAACTGGATAAGTCATGTGCGAAACAAGCGACACAAATCTCTCTGGATTAACCAAAAGTAAAAGTTTATTAAAAAGCGTTTGCAAAGGCTGGTGGGCTTCACAGTGCGCAAGCGGGAAGCCACCCCCACATACACACTCCGGCATAATCATGCACATTCCCGGTCGCAAGTCGCTCCCCGTTTCCCCACTGGCTGAGGTGCTCTGGGTGTGCACTCTTTCCGGCCGCTCTAGGATTTCTTCCTGGTCCCTCCCACCTCGTCCATTGCATGTCTATGGTAATTGCTCAAGGCTTCAGCTAATTGCATTATACTGTACTGATAAAGATTGCTCCAAATTAGTTTTTATTTACATTGTCTCACACAAGGAGACAACTTCCTCTCCATCTGCCACTAGTTGATAACCATAACACTTAACACGACTTTCTTCTCTCTCACAGTCATAATTTTACATCTACTGTGTTTCACGTTGGCAGCTTGTTTTGAAAGTTGTAAAAGGGGGTCGCTAGTATTAGACTTCGAACATTTAACAGTTACGATGCGGACCTCCATAAAGTCTGCTTCTCCTCTTAACCGGGAAGCACCCATTATCTCAAATTTAAAATCAGCCCTCAGTGAGAAGATTCCCCGAAGGTGTTCAGTGTATTGTCGAAGGCTTTCACAGCCGGCATATGATGGCTGGTGTGGGTCTTCCGGGCTGTGTGGCCGTGTTCTGGAAGTTTTGTTTCCTAACGTTCGCCAGC